TGCTTAGTCCTAATACTAGTACATAGTACGAAAACTACTGCTTCTGCTCCTGCCCCTCCTTCTCCTACTCCTCCTCCCACCACTACTACTACTACTACTACTACTACTAGTACTACTACTACTACTACAACAACAACTACTACTACTACTACTACTACTACGCGACGACGATGACGACCACTACTCAGCTCCTCTACTACTCCTGCCTGCAAAGCGATAGGTTTGCAAGATCAGGTGGTTGCAAGTCCCGCAAAAGGATAGGGCCCCCCCAAGAGCGACCACCCATGCTTTTTATTTAGCAGCAACCTAGGAATTTGTGTGGTAGCTCATATCAACAGTCTCTTCGGGCTCAGGGGCACACACGAGGTTTGATTGCCTTGCTAGCCTTGTGATCCGAGATCGAGAAGCAGGCTTACCTGCATTCTGGTGGTCTTGTTGACATGTAGACCACTGGACTCAAGGGCAAGCGCGGTGACCCAAGTATACCAACGAGTATCTTGACCTAACCAGGGCATGCAGGAAACGGCCCAGCAGAATTTGCAGTTGTCTTCTGATCGCTGGACGGAGTTGGCTACGATAAGAGTTTCTGGTGAGACTAGCCCGAACACCTAAACTCAGCTCGTGAACAGGCGATTGCCGGAAGAGGCGCAGAGGCCTGCCACAGTACCGCTATCGATACATCAGCTGGTCATGATGCAACCTACCAAGGCCACGGTACATGATCTCCATTGAGATGCCCTGGGAGGTGAGGGTTATGCCAACTAGCCGTTTTTTCGTGGGGATGACATAGAGCAACACCAGATGCCATGCATGGTCCCTCGGCTGTATATTGCCCAGACAGCACAAAGTGCCAGGGCCAGAGAAGTGGGATAGTGCATGCTTACACATGCATTTGCGGGTTGCGAGCTTACAGCAGTGTCTGGGCAGCCGGTCACGCGAATAGGTTGGTCTTAGTTCTTTTTCTCGTTTGCTTGTGCGGTGTTTGACCATGTCGAGCGCTGGAGCGGCTGCTTGGAAGCAACTGCGGCATTTCAGACATCGCGATCTGTTGCTGGGTACCTTGCTGCGGGCCTTTGAGCGGGATCAACTCGAGTGCCGAGTTCTGCAGTCGGATGCCTTCCGGCCTCATTTGACGCGCTGGGCCGAGCTGCTGCTGGTCGAGGGCACCTCTGGGGCTCAGGTTAATCCCCACGAGGTTCCTGGCGAAATTGTCGAGGCAGCGAAGCAGGGCCCAGCAGAAGTGCGCTGGCTTCTCCGACGACTCTCTAGCAAAGACCCGCATCACCGCGGCCTGCCTCACTTTCCGTCCACGCTCCTGCAAAGGGGGCCGCAGTACCCTTTCCGACCTTTTGAGCTCACCTACCTGCGCTCCGTGGTGGGAGGGATCCGTGGTACCGAGCTGGTCCAAAAGATGGAGCTTCCGGAACCCACGGAGGAGGCCAAGGCGAAGGCGGAAGAGATCCATCGGGGCGCTCCGGTTCGAGATCTCTGGGCCGAAGGCTGCTTGGACGATGACGACCACCGGGACCCTTCCAAGCCCCCGAGATGAGCCGATGAGCGCCGTCGTGCCGTTTCACTGCTCGGATTCAGCTTCTGCATCGCAGAAAAAAAAAGCTCTCACTTGCATAGGCCTATAGAAACTCTCCGGAAGCGGCCTGCCGCTTGTAGCCAAAGCCAGGCCGACAAGGCCATTCAGCAACTCGGGCGAGTTCACCGCAGCAACCAGCGGGTCACGCGCTCCAGCTGTCAGCCTTGATGGCGCAATCCCTCTCTCTCTCTCTCTCTCTCTCTCTCTCCCTCCACCCGCTCTGGACCGTTCTTGGTCAGGTTCCGCCCCGATTCGCCTTTGTGGTCACGCAGTTGGGCGGTGAGGCCTGCAGCTGGGCAACAGCCCGGTTTCTCATCAAAGCAGGCCCACTAGTATTCGATTCCTGCATCAGGCCCCCAGATTCACCGGTGTGATTCATGCTCGTTCATTTGTCAAGGCGTCCATGATGCTTCGGAGGCACTTTAGGCTCTGCTGGCTGTAGCCACATCATCTTCTCCGTGCCATGCGAAGAAAGAGCATTCGCATGAAGCGCAGGCTTCGTTTCTGACCCTGATACAAAGATTCGATCGAGTTCAGTGCAGCCAGCCACGGGCTTTCTGCACGAGCGAGATGGCGACTAGCATTTTGAGACGTGGCCGTCATTTGGAGAACAGCTGGACACCGCGGATGGAAGCCAAGACAATCTGGCAGGCAGGAGAAGGAGCCCGGCTTCCGACAATCTGATATTTTCTGAGGGTCTTCGGATCCTTGACATCCATGCACCCGCGAGACCCAGACTTGGTCGGAAGTTTCCAGTCAACAGCGTTGGGCTCGTGTTCTCTAAGTTGCCGGCGGGGCAAGTGCGGCACGCGGAGACGAGCACCTTCTGCGTCCGTGTCATTGGTCCGCAGTAAGTCTTAAGTGAAGCTTCAGCTTCCACGCGCTGTTGACGTAACTTCTGGCCACACTGCCTGCTGAGGCAGGTTGCGGACCAGCAACCTCGGCTGGTCGGAGTTTCCGCAAGGCGAGCAGAACCCTGCTGCACCCTGCTGCCTGGCTTAACCTCATTTAGCTTTGAATGTCAAGCCCAAAGCATGCACGAGGTGTACGTTGTCATGTTGGCCTGGCCTGGCCTTCTGTCCCAATTCCTGCAACCTTTCGCCCGCTGCGTGCTTCAGGGCCCAAGCATCCTTTAGCTGCATTACCGTTGTGAGGTTAGATTTTTTTCCTTCGAAGGATGGGGGGAGGACCTTCCACAGTCCAGGCGACTGTGGTGCCGGTGAACAGCAGTCCCGAGATGTTCCCCGGAAATCACCCGACAGACTTCTGCCTGTGTGCTAGCGGTGGAGGATCCCGTGCCATGAGCTTCACTTTGGGCGTGTACCGAGCCCTGTGGAACTTGAATGTCATACAGAAGCTGGATGGTATCAGCTCGGTCTCCGGCGGCACTTGGGCCAGTTCTGTCTTCATGTTCGGCAAGAACTTTAGGGGACAGAACATCGACACGGCGACGATGCTGGGAGGAATGACCAAACCTTCCTCCCTTACGCTTGAGGTGCTAAAGGCGGAGGCACCGCCTCTTGCGTGGGGCCTCACGCAGGCAAGGAGTACGCAGCTTTTCATCAAAAACGCTGCGAAAGATGTTCTGAAACCCTTGGCAGACAAGGATGTGTGGACGAAGACTGTAGCAGACTTGGTCCTGGAGCCGTGGGGACTCGAGAGCATGGATGCGTGCATGGCATTGTCGGAAGACGACGTGTCCAGGATTCGATCACAGAATCCGCAGCTGGGTGACACGAAGTTCTGCACCCCGCGGAGCGATCGCCCGAGGCTCTTTCTGATGAATGGGACGCTGCTGGCCCCTGCCGGCTTTCAGACCAGCGGTGATGCCATCGTGTCCTTTCAAGCAAGCCCGGACTTCTGCGGAAGCCCTTTCTACCCCATGGATTCTATGGTGGACTATCGCCCGGATGTGAACTTCACTCCTGCTTCGGTCCTCTTTTGCTTCAGCAGTTGCTGTCGATCGGACCTGATGGTTCCCGTGGGCGGCGGCCTTGTCGAAAGCTTTGCCTTCGGAGGCCAGGCCCCCGACACGATGCCGGAACATGCTGTCACAACATCCGTGGGTCGTCCCGAGAGACCTCTTTCTCTGGCCGATGCCGTGGGCATCAGCTCCTACGCCCCGGCTTCAGCGCTGGCCAACGACCTCTTCACCCAACGAAATTTCAGTGTGAAGAAGGAGTATTGGCCTGTTATTGCCGGTGCGATGTTGAGCCCCCTCCACAACATGGCCAGGGTCATCCCGGCGAGAGAATACCAGTTCGGCGATGGCGGGAGCATCGACAACAGTGGGCTGCTTCCGCTCCTGCAGCGAAGTGCTAGAAATGTGATTTATATTGCCACGAGCTATCGAGCCTTGAGCACGACTTACGACTTCGAGACGGTCACACAGGAGGACTTCGACCCTGATGCAGCGTTGGTCGTCGATCAGTTGTTCAGTCTCTTCGGTTATGGCAGCTCCGCTTCCAGCAAGTCCCATCTCCGATTGTGACAGCCAGGTAATTCTTTTCCCCAGCCCTAACAGAGCTTAGGCCTTCGGCTTTATAGACCTTGTCGTCTGTTCCTGTTGGGGCATTTTCGTGCGAAGGTATGGACGACCAGGCCCAGGGCTTCTTCAACTCCCAGAACCAGGTCTTCCAGAAGACCTCGCTGCTGCCATTGGTGCAAAAGATCGCTGGGCTCAAAAGGCAGGGGAAGCCGGCGGTCGTCAGGGAGACCCTGGAGGTGATCGAAGCCCGAAAATGCCCTGCACAGTAGCAGACAAACAGACAAAAGCCTTGTTGGAGTTGTTTAAAGCTTGTGTGTGTTGTGTCATCCCTAGCCATGCTGTGCATATAAACAGAGACACATCCGAAAGTCAGAAGCTCGAAGCCTTGCTTGAGGTGCTGCCGAACAAGTACTGGGGCATCCAGGGGGGCTACAATGTGACGTTGGTCTTGATTTATCTGGAGACGGTGCAGGACTTTGAGGACCAGCTGCCCGCAGAGACACGACAGGAAATTGCTAGAGGAAGTGAAGGTGCCTTTGCCAACTTTCCAATCTACCACACCAACAACAACAACGGCTTGAACACCTTGGATCTGACAGCTGCTCAAGTGAACCTCCTGGCAGCGCAGGCCGAATATTCAGTGATGCAGAACGAAGGCTTGATCAAACAGTTCATGGCCAATGCGAAACAGTAGTGCCGGCCCGCCAATGCGTCGTCGGCAGTACTGTGCGAGGCCCCATGAAGGGATCTTGTAGGCAAGGCACGAGAGGACTCACAGACCTTGCATGTACATTGTAGCCAGGTGATTTGGCATTGGGCAGCATATCGCAGATCTTTTTGAGAGTGTCCTTCTCGCGCACAGACCCACAGATGGTTTACAGGCACGTTCAAAGTCAGCGTCTCGGAGCCTGGGCGTGTTAATCGACCGACCCGAGCACAGCCGCAGGGGTCAGCATCCTTGAGCGATTCCGGCAACCGGAGTGCCGAGGGCGCCCTTTCCCGCCTGCCTCCTTTTGTTCTCGCATGAGGCTGTGTCCAGGGCGAAGCCTCCAATGCAGTAAATGTTGCACTTGGCATGGTGATTAAAGTCATCGAGCCGAGTTCGCGAGCCGGGTTCAGAAAATTAAGAGCTCTGATTCGCGAGGTGCCTGCGACAGCATGAAGGCAGGTGTAATGTTGGACATGACGAACTCTGTGACACCCAGGCTGGCTGGCAGATGGCGATCTAGATGAGGTCCAGGATTGACTTCCTGAGATACCGTAGCCTGATGTGCAGGGCTAAGTGCTGAACTCCACGAGCCTTGATTGTGGGGATCTGCGGTGTCAGGGCGATCTTCCGTTGACGCTTCCCAGCTCCACGCTGCATTGAGCTGTGATGTACCAAAACCGACACTTTAGCCGGCTTACTGCGCCCCAGAGAAGCTTGTGACGGGCTCCTTAGGCCCATCGCCACTCCCCTGCGGGGACTATATTGTTCAACACGCACGCCTTGTCTTAGTCGAAGAAGGCATTTGCCCCATCCCTCCCTGTTCCTCAGTGTAAAGGGTTGAGGACTGGTTCGAAGGATATGATGTGTATGGTAGTGCTTGATCATGCTATGCAAGCATAGGGATGTGTACTGCAATAGCAGCAAACTTGCTCACTTGCCTTGGCCTCGGTGCTTCGTGAGTTCCGTGTGCCTCCTGCTACTGAGCTGCCACCGTCGTCAAAGGCCGACCCAAATCTGCCGTGCCAGCTTTTTGCAACGTGTCACCAAGAACTTCTGGCAAGCTGCTGGCAGTCGAAAGCAATCGATCTGGGTCTTCGGCTCACCAGCGCGTTTCTGTTTCGCTCGTTCTGGTTCGGAGAATGCTCAAGTGATAGCTTTGGGGTTGTCGGAAGCCCTCCTTCAGTCCGCTGGACACACCATGACACACCTGCGCAAACTAAGCTGGTCTGAGGGAGCTGACTCTGCTGTCGGCCTTGCTAACTTAATGCAGTATCTTCTCTGATTTGGAAGTGCCTGGCTGGTGGGCTCCCGTTGTCAAGCACAGCGCTCAGCTGTAATCAGCACATTCGCATATAGAGCTTGAGCCCGGCCCGAATCTTGTTTCTTGTTGGGCGGCGTCCACGAACAGAACGGTTGGGCCTGATCAAGAGCACGAGCGGAAACCCACATGAACAGTTTTAGGTCATGTTTTATCGAAGTGCATGCGCCCGGCATTTCCTGTCGCAGACAGGCTCAGGACGTGTTATGCGGCAGCACAGGATGGTGCGAAAAGCATGGGCGGTCGGCGTGTGTTCGATTGCAGTTTTGCTGGCATTAGGCAAGCAGCACAGTCAACTCTTCACACGAGTGGTACGGGCGCCGCCGGCAAGTGTAGCTCCACTCTCGCACGGGGATTTGGCCCAGGGTGCGCGGTCTGAGTTCCTCGAGTCGTGGATCACAAGCAAGCGCCACAACCAATTGACTTGGCTGCCTGCAGAGAGACGACTGGTGAACAGCCAGTTTTCTTCCATACTCGTTCTTGGCGATTCGTACGCTGATGACGTGGATATGGGCTTCTTTTGCTGGCCATCTCGCCTTGGGAAGAGACTGAAGTTGCTAGTCCTGAACGTTGCTCGGGGCGGCTCTGAATCAGCTCACGTCAGCGCGCAACTGGAACGTGCACATGCCTGGAAGCACGAAGACTTCACACTGGACATCCAAAGCCTCCTCATCTTGCACACAGGCGGCAATGATGCTTTGCACTCCTTGAGGAACCCTCGGATGCTGGCACTCTTGATCTCAGATCTCTATAGTCTTCGCAATTCTATGGAAGACCAGCTTGAGTTGAGCTTTCCAAGAGAGCTGGGCAAGGCCGTCACTTCAAAACTCGACAATTTCTTTGCCAGCGCCGCTGTACATGGGCACCGCCACATCGTCCTTAGCACGTTGCCCATCATCTCCTGCCTGCCGTTGGCAAGGCTTCTTGTCCAGCTTCTGGTGCCCGGTGCGAGTGCCGGCTTTGTGACCAGGAGCTTGCGAGCGCTCGGGCGCTCCATCAATCAATGCGTGTGTGGGGATATCCAAAGCCTCGCGGCTAAGCATGGGGTCTATGCACAAGTCTTTGACGAGGCCTCCCAGCTGGAGTTGTTGGCAGAAGAGGCAGGGGCCTCGCAGCTCGGACTGTCGGACGGCTTGAGGCTTGTGCTTCGACAGCTTCAGCGGATCCTTGCCGGACCCGTGAAAGACTCCGGTTTCTGGCACGATGGCCACCACCCCGCCTCAGAGGCTCACGAGCGCCTCGCAGAGGAAGTGGAGAGGATCCTGCACACTTCTCCGCCTCCCGGCGCGACCCTCCGTTGAGTGACGGTCACCCTCCAGCCAAGGAATGAAAAGGAATCAAGTGCGAAGGCAATAAAGGCGCCTCGCCTATCCCTTTGCCTCATAAGTCTCGAAGCAGCCTGAGGCCTGATGCAAACTGTAACCGCAGCCGTGTCAACCCCAACCGCCGGAAAGCTAAGGACGCTAGAGAACCTCAAGCTAGTCAGCTAGTCCCGAGTTTAAGTCCCGGAAGCGAAGACGCCGGCGTTTTCCAGTCTCAGTTTCAGAGCACATCAAGTGAAGCAGGAGGCAAAGACTCACCCGGAGCCTGGGGCCAGGTGCGCTTCGTGTCGACGGTTGCACGCCGCTTGCGGATTCTTGGCGTTCTGGCCTCAGACCGACCTCTTGGAGTTGCCCGAAGCTTTGGAAGGACGTCCTTCGTTTGACTCCCTGTTTCCTAGCTTTCATATATCGGTGTTGGAAGAGAGGCAAATCCTGGGTTCGAAACTGCAACAGAAGGGTAACGAAACCATGGATTCTAGATAAAGTGTACAACGATAAATCCCGGAACTCAAAATAATAGAAGGCAAGCAGAACAACGTGGAAATTGTTGCGACATGAGCGGAGTGGCACCTTTGAGATTAGCAGTGGTCTTGACTGGATCCGGCATACTATTCCACGATCGCTGCCCGTCCTCAAGGCCATGATGAGAGGTGATCGCAATTCTGCGCACGGCGCCGTCAATAGCTTGTCCAGCTTCGACATGCAAAACCGCCCTTCAGCTGCAAGCAACTGGCTGCTTCTTGACATGCGCTTGTGGAGAAGCCCGTTCGCGAACGTGCAAGGTTATGGACGCCAGGCTCTGGCGCGTTTATTCGAACTGCTTCGAACTGGTCAGCAGCCGGAGGTGAGAGAGCAAGTCAGGAGTGGCACTAGCATCGGCAACTGTTGCATGCCGGTCTGTTCGCCATCTTAGTCTTGAGGTCTCCTTCTCCTTCTTGGCTCGACGGGGTCGACAGACGAGAACCCCATGGCAAAGCTCCTTGCCTGAAGCTGCTTGCAGCTCCGCAACGAGTCTCTACGAGTGCAGTGGCAGGCTGGCCCGAGTTCAGGAAAGCAGCAGAGAAGGCCCAAGCTGCATGCTGGCTGTGCGTTCATGATTCTGCAAGAACACAATCCAGAGTGTCCTTTTGCTTTTGGGGCACGAAGGCTCTTGACTTGATCGGTCTTCGACCGGACACGGAAGACAAGTACGAGGTTCGCAGGATGTGGAAGTATGGGCACTGCGACATGTGCAGCTCTGAGAGGAATCTCTCTCGGAGTCCAAAAGCCTGAATGTCTTTCTGAACAGGCCGGACGATCAATTCTTCAGCTGCTCAGAGTCCTGCGATGCCTTGTGTTTAAGGTTGCTCATGCTCGAACCGGTGATGCAAAATGCTCTTTTCGATGCTGTGGCGGAGCTCTATGCACACCTTGTGAGCCCCAACCCCAATAATTCTACAGATGGAGTTGAACTGTGGCAGCCAAGCAGAGCCAAGCTGTGAGGTCTGGACCAAGCTTCTGGAAGCTACGATGGGGGACCCGAGCTCCTCGATAATAAGCCGCTGGGACTGTACTTTCGCGTTCCCCTCTCCTCTTGAGACGAATGTACATACGTCCCCGGGTCGTTCTGCTGAGAGGCGCGGCATCCAAGCAGAAGTCTGGCCCTAAAAAAGATGTCCTCAAAAAAAGTGCTTGCCAGCAGAAGTCGTTGCTGTGATCTCTCAGGTCCGGCTTGCGAAGCGCGAGGTGCAAAAGATTTGCTCCGCTTCTGCTCAGCAATTGTTGCTGCTGCTGGTGCGGGATGTTGCGGGGCAGGTGCTCTTCGAAGATCCCGTTACCGGGGCCGAAACGGCAATCCGGCAGCAGAAGATGTGTCTGCCAACTGCCTAAGGTTCGGGTACCAACGTCATTTTTGATCCCCATGCTTTCCGCCTTCCATTTCATTGCTTTGCCAGTCGCAGCAGGCAGACATCGACAGTTTTCAACTTCTAGCCTACTGTCTGCACCATTTCTTGCTGCTTCCATTGCTTCCTTCTGCACAACGACACGTGACAGCAGCTTTCTGTCTGGCACTCGAAATGTAATACGCGGATACGATGTTGAATATGTCGCCCTCCCACTTTGACCGGATTCCACATGACGTACGTCTGTCATGGAATGAATTACTCGACTCACGAGCCTGCTCAAACTGAAGCGAGACCTGGATGTGCATCGGTTTTTCTTAGTGACAGCTGCTGCTACTGCAAGCCACCTGGTCACCATTCCCTATGTGCCAGTGGCCGCTGACCGTTATCAGTTTTCGCCGAAACCTTACATCCTGAAGCATGCAGCCTCAATTTCCTTCAGTGCAGCATGCTGCCCAGACCCTTTTGAACCCAGTCTCGGCGCCAGACATGTTTTTCCAACGTATGACATCAAGCCTCCTTGTGCGAACTCTTTTGTGTTTGACCATGGACCCTAACATGCAGGTGTCCGGAGGCCCGTGGCCAACTGCCCTCACAGCAGCCGATCCGTTTCGCGCTTGAAACCTCGAAAAGGTGGGAAAGCCGTGATCAACTCTGATAGACTGATAGACGGCTAGATATCAGCAGAGCATTAATTGCTTTGTGTGGGGCCGCATAGGGCCGCTGTTTTTGTTGCACTGCTTCACTTTTCTGGTCCTGTGTTCCCCTGGTTCCTGGGTCAGATTCGGAGATATGGTTGGTAGGCAAACGCAACGTTCTAAACGCATGCATGTGTGGCTTTCCTGCGAAGCTCAACTTGAAAACTGGACCTTCTGGTTTCACCGAAGGCACTTGTGCTGAACATGCAGTGTCTACGCTGTTGCAAAGTGCAGGTGAGCAGAACACCGAAAACAAAGCGATGCCCAGACAATGCTAATAGCAAAAAGACAAAACTTATGCAGAGTTGTGCATTGTCCTGTCTGCTTCCAGCGCTGCTAGCCGAGGCATACGTCCGCTTGCAGCTTGATCGTGGCATGGCATGGGATGCAGCAGAGGAGGCTTTCAGACGTATTAGGTACGATGGTACAGCTTAGCCGAAGCAACTTCTTCAGTGCATAGCCTGTGCAGGTGCTTGACCGCTGCGGAGGACGTGCTGAAGAAGTCGCAGGGTTTTATTGGATCCAGGGCTACATGCAGAGATCAAGCGCCTCTGTCGTACTGGCTGTTGCACGACCCGTGCTGCGCGGAGTGCGTTTGGGGGCTTCGGGGCAGTCAGAGGACGAGGAAGAGGAAAGTGATGTCGAGTTTGAGCTACACTGGCCGCAGGGTCCTCCAGCTGGTTGCGACCTCGAGCGGGTGTATGCCTCTACGTTGCGGCAGGGCGAGCGTTTCCGAAAAGCAAAGGCTTCGCAGCTGGGTCAGGTCCAGTCCGCTTGGCAGGCTGCTTGGCAGTTTCGCACTGCGTCTGAGCGCTGGCAGGAAGAGCATGTCCTAACTGGATCAATCCTGAGCACTTGGGCGGTTCTCGGGACTGCCATCGGCACCGTGCAAAGCTCGAAGGTGCGCAAAATACCACTCGTGAGGGCGAAGCTGACAGATGGTGGAGCAATTGTCGGAGTTCGCGTGCAGCCGGAGCGTTTACAAGAAGTGAGATACCTTCTTTCTGCGATCTCGGAGCAGGGAGGCAAGAGCAGCCAAGAGAAGGTGGAGTCAGTGGAGCTGGCAGATGAGGAGCATGTCGACCACATCGATGTCACGCGACTTTCTGCGCAGCTTGAGGCCGTGTCATTCCAAGTGAGTACTGTAAGTCAATGTGCCGTCACAAAAGTTCCTGTGTATCCGTGGATTTCTCGAGTCTCAAGTGTCGTGCGCTGCCAACGTGTGTTTTGGGCTTGCTGAGTACAGCAGCCGGAGCCTGCTGCGTCACCGGCAATGGCGTCTGCAGAACTGCTGCTCCCTGACGACAATGTAGACCTCCAGCCGACAGCCGATGGCACCGTATGGCAGTGTGTCACACAGTCAGACCCGGTTTCGAGAGCATTTCTCTCTCGCGCTTTTGTGGGAAGCATGAGAAATGGTAAACGCTTCGTGTCGTCCACCTCGGTCCGGCCGCGGGTGAAGAGTTGCCTTGGCAGAAATGAGATACTAGGAGGGGGAGGGGGGGGGGGGCGGTGAACCTATACATCCAGCGGTCGGGTCTGTCAGAAGAGCTGTCGGAAGCCGCAAGTCGTGATTTGTGCTTCCGCCATGCTGCACGCTTTCCGCTTGCTGAAAAGGCGCCAGGAGTGCGCCTGCCGGGACGGCTTCCGCGGCGAAAGCGCAGATCAGGTTCTGTGCGGCTGCCAGGTGAACACAGTTGCTGCCGCCATTCCGTCACTGGCCTTCGGACCCACGGAATTCGCATGATTCCATTAAACAAACAGACTCAGACAGGTGCTGCGGGTTTAACTTTGCATGGAAGCAGGCACCAGGAAAAGTCTTGTACGATGATTGCGCACGCATGCAGTGCTCTCATGCAGATTTACTTGCGGATTTTTGCGGGCTCAGCGAGCTATGTAACAGACGTAACATGTAACATGCAGTTCCTTAGAATTAGAAGCCAGCAGCCAGACCTTCCAGACATGCCTGTTTGAGGCCTTCCTGCGAACGCAACCCGATCAGCAGGCCGTGTGGCATGGCTGGGCGGGTGCTCACAAAATGCTTGTGGCCGACGGCCTGGTAAGCGCGAGGGCTCCCGGAATGCGCTTAGCACAGGAGGCCATGGAGGATTTGGAGCGAAATGGCAAAATCGATATAGATTCCGAGACTGGCATCGTCCATCTGCGTGAGAAGCCCAAAGGCTGCGGTTGGTACATTCCGCCTCCGAAGAAGCCAAAAGTGGCGCGAGGACGCGGTCGAGGTCGCGGGGGTGGGCGGGGGCATGGTAGAGCCCAAGCGCCCTAAAGCCCTGCGAATCCTCTTGCATCTCAATCAAGATAATGCCGTCTGCAGCACCACCGCCTCCTGCACAGCCTGGCTTGGGGCATGGTGGACTGCCGATTTTGGCAGCTGCTGATGTACATAGCCATTGTTTCCAGGGGACGCAGACATGTGCGCGGGGTGCACGCATGTGTCCGGGAAGTTTCCATATCAGGAGGAGAGCGGGCCGGAGACTGTGCATCACTGAGACGTGACGTGCTCTGCATCTTCGCACTGTGTTGCAGCATGGGCTTGCCTTAGGCCCTGAACAAGCCCTGTAGACTGAACATGGAAGCGGAAGACCCTCGAGCGACTGTGTTCTAACAGTAACCCACATCCTTATAAACTATAGGAAGCTGGCCAGAAGCATGGCGCTTGCTTTGCCAGTGCAGTGGCCGCGACTTGGGCACATGGGGCCTGGGCGGCGGCACCACGTGGCCCGACAATGTAGCAACCAGAGCTGGAGGGTCCAAGCGGCCACACTGGGCGGAACCCTGGTCTCGCTGCTCAAAGCGCTGAGGCAGGCGGGTGTGGCAGAGCGAAGGAGGAGGCTCCGAGAGGCCACGACGGCACAGCTGCGGATCATCAGCGCAGGGCTCCGCCTCCGGGCTCCGGTGACCCCGGTGGGCCAGGGCTCACGCGCAGCTTTGATGGCCAGGATCGAGGAAGCTTTGGCCCAAGATGCCAGGCTAGCTGCTCCCGACCAGCCGATTGGCCGCATTCTCCGAAGTTTGCCGACGGACAAGACCGACCAGTTCGAGCAGCTGATGATCGATCGGCTGAGTTGTGCAAAGTTGAAGGGTCGGCCCAGCGCACTTCTTCTGGGACTCGGAATCGCTTCTTGTCCCCAGCTCTGCTCTACTTGCCAGGCCTTTGCCGGCCCTTGCGCCTCAGCACTGCCGGCAGGAAGGCTGGGCCACTGGGCAAGTGTTTCCTACTGCACCGCGCTGCGCAGCTGATGCAGCTCTGAGATGACCTGAGTCAGGCAGAGCTTGCAAACCAGATCATCGCGGAGCTCATGGAGCGACATCCGCCAGGCACGGTTGAATCCAGAGTTCTGCGAAAGTCTTGTGTTCTCGTAGCCTTCTGGAGGCTTTCAAGAGCCAGAGGTTGTGAAGATTCCGGCCATGCCAAGGGCAAGACCCGGCCATAGCGAACCCGACGCTCCTCAGCGAGGCAAGCCTAAGTCTGTGGCCCTGTTTGGCTCTGATCTCCCCATGCTTTCGCAGATTCTCCCGACCGCTCCGAGCCCGAGGCAGGGGACGCGTGCTGCATGTGGGGCAATCCTCTGACCTCAGTCCTGAGGATGTCGAGGATGGGGTGTTGATACCAACAGTGGCTGTCCGAGATCCCCAGCCATTTGCACACGCCTCTTCGAGCCGCTTAAGCATGAAAGAGCTTCTTGATGTCAGGTTCTTGTCAGCGAGGAGGAGAGAAGGCAATGCCAGCAAGCGGAGCGACGACAGCGGAGAAGGCTGCACGAACGGATTAAGCATGGCCTGGCATCATTGTGCGGTATCTCGGAAGGAACCGATTCGCAGAAATTCTGGCTGAGGACCTCTAGACATGTTTGGGAAGCGATTGTGATAAGTACAAGTGCTCTGCCGCTTTGGGGAATTCATCAATGGCTCAGGAGCTATCTTGCGTCGTGCATCCCCAGCAGGGCGCGACGTGCTGAACTCTCCTGAGATGGTCAGCCATCGCATGGCCTAGCTTGAAGGTTTCACGGTTCCTGCATGGGACGGCCATACTGGTGCCAGGATGGGTTCCTGCTAGTTAGATGAACACGGTTGCTGCTTGCCCTTTGGTCTGGAGAGGAGGTGCTTCTTGGATTGCCAGAGATTCAGCTTGACCCACGTGCTCCAGAAGCCCGAATTATCCCGATGGATCATCCTAGAGACGACCGTGCTTCGTGGTGCCTTCTTCTGTAAATATGAGTGCATGAGCCGCCGTTTGCCAAAACAGTAACACATACACGCCGCCACGAGCATTCCCGTCATCCGTTTCACCGCATGTCGCGGCAGCCGTGTCGAACCAAAGGGAGGCGCTGTTGAAGCCCTTGTTGGCCTCATCATCTCCAACCCTTGCGCTGGGTCTGAAAGGCATGTGGACATCGGAGCATGCTATGTGGCCTAGCCTTCTACTGGCCCAAAAGAGAGCAGGACTGAAGCAAGAAGCCTCGACAAATTGTTGCTCGTCTTCCCAACACACACTTCTGCAAGTGAATACTGCCACCTGCTTGAACTGCCAATTCATTGAGCCATGGCATTGAACATGGACCGTCAGGCTGCGACCAATGTTGTACCAGCTTGTAGATAGAGTCTGTGTCTCAAGGCCGCGGCAGGTGCGTAAGGGCATACTGTTTTGCAACTTGGCTACTGCGTCATCCAGAAACATGCTCGCACCGCCCGTCCTTCATGTTAATTTTCTCCTCAGGGTACCATTCGCTCCCTGCCTTTCTCTCTGAAGCCACAGTCGCGCATGAATCGCGAGGGGAGAAACGGGGGTGGATTTGGGTCCACTGGCTCAACTTCCGCAACATCTTCCATCAAGCAGGAAGCCCAGCTACTCAACTTGCTCCAAGGCCTCCCAGCTAGCTTCGAGCACCTAACCTTGAGGCGAATTCAGCGTGAGCTGAAGGAGATCAGTGAGTCCCCTTCGCGGCACTGGACCCGATCCGAACTGCTGAGGCTAGGTGCGCATTTTCGTTACACCTATACGCCCGCTGCTGCAGGATCGCTGGGCCAGCGAAAGATGACCTGTTCGAGTGGCTGGTCTCTCTCTCAATGCTGCTTTCTCTGCTCGTAAGGGGCTTTTGCCGCACCTGCTGCTCAGTTTGCTGTTCGCGGGCCGCCCTCAACCGACTTCGAAGGAGGCTCGGTCGGTGGTTGCTTTGCTTTGCAACCTCATGCAGCCTCCGAATCTTTTGATGAAGAGGCATCTACACCGGCAAGATCGTGTTGCCAGCCGCGTGCTTGACCGCGCGCTTGCTGTGCTTTCCTATACACTGGTGAAGTCAGCTGCCCACTCGAGGTGAACTACCCTCTCGCACCTCCATCCATTACCATGCTTACACCAAGTGGCCGATGGGAGGCGCGCCCGCTCGAAGTCGACATGCAAGCTTTTCCAACTTGGTCTGAGGTAGGGAAGAAGATCTGCCTGAGCAACACCAGCTACTCAACTGCACACGGCCACAGCCAACAGAAGATTAAGAAGGGAGGATTGTGCTTGTTCAAGGCAACCCTGGCTTTGAACACATTCATCATTGTTTGCATTGCTATCCGCCACCGCTAGTATGTGAGGATCTGTTTGCAGATCCCACACAGCTGCATTTTGCCTCAGATTATCACGCAGAGCTCTGGCAGCCCGCTTGGGGGATCCGGACCATCATGGAGGCTGAGTGCTTGAATTCGGTTTGCCGATTCCGACAAGACTGGTCTCGAGGCCCTGCGCAGCCACTTCCCGGTGGCTGGAGACGGGGCGGTCGGTGCTCGCCTCACACTTCCGTAGCTCAAGCAGGGGGATTCAAAGGACATCAAGGGACCTTTGCTGGAGGCGCCCTTGACTGGCCAAGCCACCTTCGCCAGCGTCTGGCGAAGGCGCAGTTTGAGTTTGGTGGGGACGCCTTTGCATGGCGCAGCGCTCCGCGAAGGAATCCTTGGACTTTATCACCTTGCCTGGGTCAGCTGGCCAGTGGGCGCAGAAGTCTGTAGCTTACCTATGAGAGGCAAAATTGTCTGAGCAGCACGCAGCTGCTTATTGCTAACTGAGAGAGGAATCGGGAGCTCCTACCGGAGCTCTCGCCTGAGGAGCTGAAGGAGGCCCCCGCAAGCGGGCGCATGAGCTTGGGCTTAGTGGCTTAGGGTCCCTTAGGGTGGTTTGCAGGAATCTACCGCTGTATGGCTCAAGCTATGAAAGTCAAAAATGCTTGCGAGAAAGCAGACGTTGCTGCTCAGCTTCATAGGCAGGAGCACTTTTCCGTGCTGAGTCATGTCTGTGAAGTCGAGGTTTGAGTGTGGTCCCGGAGCCGTACATGCGAAATTTGTGCTTATGCGGCCAAGCTGAATTATGCTCCTGGCAGCTGAGAGATGCGAGGTGTGCAAGCAGACTTGTTTATTCTTCCCTCCAAGGCATGCTTGCGCAGCTCGTGGTAGGAGACAGCCTCAGAGGGCATTGAGTGGCTCCCACACTCGAGCACGTGACATTCAGCCGGCAACAGGATCCAATCAAACTTTCCCACAGTCGGACTCGCAGGCTCGTCCTCTTCGCTAGCTGCTTGTGGCTCTGACTCGAAGTGCCGGCTGCCCGTCGTGCAAAGGTGCGGAGCGGACGCGTGGACTGCGCAACTCGCAAAGAAAATTGTACCATGTCATGGCCCAGAGCGCATGGGCCTAGCAGGTCTGCTTTCTGAAGAAGGCGCAGACGATTCTTACCATGATGAGATGAAGATCATGAGATGCGAGCCAGGAACAAGAGATCATGACGATAGCATGAAACTAACGGAGAAGATGGTGGTGGTGGTGGTGGTGGTGGTGGTGGTGGTGATGGTGGTGGTGGTGGTGGTGGTCGTGGTTTCGAGACTGTCCGATTTTCCCATCGTCCTCCACCTGTCATCGCCCCTGTGGTCACACTCGGTCAGTGGCATCCTCAGCCTCAACCTTCTGTTCAGCATCAGAATATCATCATCGTATATCATCGTCGTCATCACATGCAACATCACAGTATTCTTATTGTTTTTGTTTTAAAGTGATTTTGCTTATCAGTGTTCTTCCTTTAATCCTTCGTCTTCTTCTTACTTTTCTTCTTCTGTCTCTCTCGCTCTCTCTCTGCACGTGAAGACTGCCAAGTCAACCTCCTGAGGCGTGTGGTAGCATTTGTGCAAGACCCGATGAAGGGCGAGAGTATCGGACTAATGCGACACTGATGGGAGTTTAACCACCGTGACATTGCGTCTGTGCCACTGCATCCATCGGGTGTGCCTGTTGTCGGATAGTGAAGGGTGATATTCGGCATTTCGCTGATGTCTGGTAGGGCTTTAAGATCTTTGAGGTAAATCGCTTGGTGGTGTCGTCTGCGAACAGACCACGCGACTTGGGCAACATCTGTAACACCTGTCTCAGGCAAGAGAATGCCGCAAAGAGAACGAGGACCAGCCATGTCTTTGGGATGACCAGTGTCCCGGGCTAGGCCCGGCATTGCACCGACTGCCTTGAGATTCGGCGGTGGCGCGTGGGAGTGCAAGGCTGCAAAAACCCCTTTCTGCCAGGCTGCAGCGCTCTTGGATTCGCGTCACTTGTCAGAGCAATTCAGAGCATTCTACCGATTCAGGACCTGGCTACAGCAGAAATCTGACGACCCTTCCTTCCTGATCAGGAATTGTCGATACTGTGGGTTCGGAGAATATGCGCCTTGCCCTCTTCACCATGGTGCCAGCCGGCCACGACCACCACCCATTTCTTCCTGCAGTCCGCTGGGTACTTATACCTGTAGTGGCTTGGCTCTCATCTTAGCTTAGTTCTGAAGGGCGATAAGGATGATTAGGTTGATAAGTGATAAGGCTGACAAGGGACTAGGCATTCAAACCTGAGACCTCTTCCGGGCAGTTACGGCAAGCCATGGTGCCATAGTGGTTTTCGAGCACGTGCATGTGCAGGCAGAACGTGCTTCAACGTGGATGCAGGCGCCGGTGCTTTCGTCGGTAGCATGGACCCAAAATTCAAAATGTCGAGTTCGTGGTGTGCAGGAGCGGAAACCAATGTCATCACAATGCAACATGGAACACCCTACTTTGAGCCACTCGCTGCTATGGACTGGAGGTGTGCGGCTCACCCTTATGCCCACTCTTGTTGATCTGCCTAGGTCTAGCACCGACCCTAACGAGCTCGTCACTGCTCGTCCCAATGACAGGGTTTGCAGTTGGCACAGCTCTTCACGCACCCAAGGAATCGTATCAGAGCTGGAAACGGCTTCGAGGAAACGCAACAATGCTCCCAAGTCCAGGGCATTGGCGGCACGAACATGTACTCCTGTGTGACCAACTGGCGGCGCGAGCACACCTTGAAGATGCTTGGCAACGGAGTAGTTCGCTGGGAGAAGCTGTTGACCGAAGTGCGGTGACGCCGTCACAGCAAAGGATCGCTCGCTTCTTGCAACAGATCACCTTCAACGCCGACTGTACATTCTTTGTGAAAAAAGTATGGCGAATGTCGCCGCAGCCTGTCTCCACATGCACTGTAAGGTGCACCAAGCGCTGATGCAGCGCTTTAGAAAAGTGTGAATTGGTGTAGATTGCAGCATGCTTTTGAAGGGCCTTTTGTCGATCCGTGGCTCCTTGCGGATTTGGCAAAGGCCTGGCACCTTTTTTGGGCCCTGCATGCCCAATTCGGAGATTGTTTTAGATAGTGTCAGTGACTCCAAGGACCGAGACCAATACTTTGACCTTTCCTTGGCTTAGAGCCGGTGCCCAGTGGGTCCCCAGTGGCTTAGAAAGCCGAAAACGGGGTCTCCGAGCTCTTCCCACGCATTTTGAGAGTCCGGGAATAGGTCGGCTCATCATGGCCTCAAGAGGAGATTCTCAGTGTCTGGGAGCGCTGATTCTTCGCGACGCCAGGGACAGTGCAGAAGCTGAAGCCCGAAGATGACTTCGCGTTCAGAGTACTGCACTGGAGATATATGATTGCAAAAAAAAGCATCACGAAGCACTGCTGATGGCACGATCTAGAATTTCAGATTGCTGTCTGCATCTGTCTGCACTTTGCACTGTCGGATGCCACCGCCATCACTTGGCAGCGGAACCGCTCGCACGCTGTGGGGCCGGTGGGGTTTTGGGACTCAAAGTATGGTCCCGCCCTGGCAATTTTATCCACAAAAGCTACAAAGAGCTCATTGGACTAGATGTTGTAGCCTGAATTTGCATTCTGTACAGGTGCCTGCAAGGATGATAAGCCGATGCATCAGGGGTGCTGGTGTCGAAGTTGCCAGCAAAAGGGCAGCCGAGCGGGCTCATGCATCGTGTCACTTGTGCGTGGCTCCCTCCTGGCACATGCTGATAGACCATGCTTGGCTGAAGCCTAGACAAAGCACCTTCCTTGCTCTGCTGGTGCAGGAGCTTCCAGAAAGGCCCTCGGAGGCGCAGCGACAGAAAGGATGAGATGTGGTCGGGGGAAAGCCTTGGCCACAGGTCGAACGCATCGACACCGCGGATCCGGCACCACAGACGGAGACCAGCACGACCACAAGCAACACGCAGGCTTGGCCGATTCTTCTGGAATGAGCGCTCTCGAGAAGCCAAAGCCGAAGCAAGGCACCGCTCAGCGGCTCATCACCAGAGGCTCCAGGCCCCACGACACTTTCAGTTGACTGCACGTCAGCTCGGCCCGCATCCGAGGTGCTGTGCCATCTCCGCCTCCAGCGCCAGCTGCAGGAGAATTATGCAGTCCATCCCAGTGGCAGCGGTACATATGCCAGCAAAACAGGGTGTCCTCGGCTAGGAGCACCGAAGGCAGCACCTCGCAGACGTCGTGAAGGCTCGGTACATCCGGTATAGACTCGTGTTTTGTTGGCGGGCGTTGGGAGATGTTGGGAGGAGAAAGGCCACGACGGAGCCAGCAGAGCCTCGTCGTCCAGCTGCTGAAGCCTCCTACGACAGGGTGCAGATGCCTTACCTAGCGCGCTGGCAGAGCCTCACATCTCCCTGGACTTGCAGGCGTGGCTGGCTTCTAATGTCCCTGAATTTTCTCATCGTCCTCATGCTTGTGCTGCCGGCGACATTTGTAGCTACAGGTTACATGCTGATTCCTGCGCATTCCTCCGCACAATGACATGTCCAGTGCTGCCACGATCGATGTCAGGTTTCCTTCTGCATCGTCTTGGCCGATGTGATCAGGCAACCAGCAGGGCAGTGTGGCAATGCGTGGGATGGTCCAGCGGTTCCTTGCTTGCCAGGCAACCTCCGAGTCTCCTCAATCCAGCACCGGACCAGAAGGTGCTGACGACCCACGATTTACGATCGTGAGCACCACCTTCAAACCCCGAGAAATCTTCTTGCAGCAGTTTTGTTTTGCATTCAAACCCCCGTACTTGATGGGGAGCCGGGTTCACCAGTCGTGATCATACAAACACTCGCACGCATGATATCTGATGTCAGGGCTGTTGCTAGTCTTGTATGCTAGAATCATGGAAGTCGTTCAGTGTACAAACTAGGAGGTACGAGTAGGCGGAAGTCTTGCAAAGGACTACATGATAGTTCAGGTTCACGACAGGCGCCGTGCAAGAGTTGTAGAGAGAAGAAGAACTGCCAACACAGTCGGCATTGCTCTTGTGCGAGCAAACATTTGGTGGCATCGGATGCCAGGTCCAAAACCAGAAGCCCTGAGTGTCTGGACCCCAGTTGGAAAACGAGCCCGACAGTCTGGCAAGGTCGAATATCAATCGATTCTCAATGATGTTCAATTGATCTCATGCATAGGGGAGCAAGCTCCTGACACACTTGTGCTCGATTTCTCGATCTTCGTCTCCAGCACACTTTCAGGGCTTGCTCATGAGGAGGGCTAACTCAGACACAGTGGCTGCCATGCTTTCTCGGATGACCTCAGGCAGCAGTGTGGCTGATGGCGATGGCCAGTAGCGGCTCTAGGCTGCTCGCCATGCCGTGAAAGCAGCGCAGTAGAGACTGTAAGGCAGAGCAAGTGCCGTGCAGTGGGCCAAATGGCCCCTCCGTCACTTGCAGCACCATTTCGAGTGCCAACCCTCCTCGGTCGAAAGCTTCAATCTTGGGGGTTCGGACAGGCGCCAAAACCGCTCAAGGTGCCTGTGCTCTTGTCCGCTCATGTAGCAATGGCACAAACCTGGCAAGTGCAGATTGCATCGCCTCGCTCAAGAAAGAAGATTTATGAATCTTGCAGCGGCCATGGCCAATTTCACGGTCGAACGGCATTTTCGATACATCTGTTATTGTTTCTGTTACCTCTAATATCCAGTCTGCTGCTCAAGCCACACATTAGGCAACATTCAGGTAATATTCGTGAAAATTAAATACTCGCAAGTTCTGGAATAGTTAATAGGCGCAGCAATTCGAAGGAGACAGAAGTGATTCATGACGTAGCAGTTAAGTACGAGATCGTTTTTGACAGCGGCTACCGTGTGTTTCAATGAGAAGGAGATGGCAGAAACACGTAACTTCCTACCAGGTAGTCATTTGCAAGTAAGCCGTGACATGCCAATGCATAACTAGAACAGTACGCGTTCGAAGTGTTCACATATTACTTTCTATATTCTGGTGGTTGAGAGGGACCAGCCGGGTGGTAGATGTCAGGGAAATCCTTTTCAAGCTGGAAGCAGCAGAAACTAACTATGTTGCTTTAGCATTTACTTGTTATAGGAACCCTTGAGAAGAACCCTTGAGCGTGCAATGCAGGTAGATCTGAAGCAAAGTAGTGGACAACTAGTTAAGTTGTATGTAAACATCGCAGGTTCGACGAGTCCTGTTTGATTACCTACAGCGTATCTGGCTGTTTCATGTAGTTGCATGTGTACATGTGCCCCAAGATTCACGATTAAGTTTCTTAGCCTGTTTTCCCTACCGCCGCCACTCTGGGGCTGTTTGGGGTTTTTGGGTTGCTAGGTTGAGATTGTAATGTTCAGGATGTCGGCATGCATCAATTGAAGCTGACAGAACACACTTCCTTCAGCAATCCGACTATGATAGTTAGTTACCCACACGGACCCACGCCTCCTTGCAGTCCGCGGAGACAAGCATGAAACCCCGACCTAAGCCTTCAGGAAGTCCAGAGCTCCTCGAGCACCCGTTCATGTCACCCACCCCGCAGGTTCTTTCTGCATGTTCTGTCAACTCTCTGATGAACAGCATTTCGTGGCTCAAGGCGACCATCCTGCCTGCTTTCGGCTTCCGAGAAGCAGTGCATAGATGTCCGGCATTCCGGATGCAATCAAAGTCGAGGCAGGTGAGGCCGGCATGATGAAACATGCGGAGTCCAAGAGCCCAGGCGTGTCGCTGCCTGGCACCATTGCTACCCTATCGAATCTGCTTGTAGGCGGTAGCAGCGTTCTGTTGCCGTATGCATTCCGGCTCTCTGGATGGTGTTTTGCACCGCTGCTTCTTGCTGTCGGCTGTCTAATGGGCTTCACATTGTGGATCATGGGCTTCCTGCTTGAGTCGCTTGATGAACGTGCAGAGCAGATGGGAATCCCCCGGTCGCAGCGCGACTGGGGTCTTATCGGCTACGCAGCTTTTGGAAATGTTGGCCGCGTTGCTTTTGCCGGCTGCATGCTCGTTGATCTGATTGGATCTGCCCTGTTCTTGTTGAGCGTTGCCATCGAACAGCTCCCTTTCCTCCTGCCTTTCAGACACGAGTTGGTCGCTGCACTTTGCTGTCTCACGGCCTTCGGCTGCTGCCTTCTCCCGAAAAGGTTTTTCTCAGCAATGGCCGTGTTGGGGATTACGTCTCAGGTCATTCTGGTCGTGGGCATTCTTGTTACAGGTGCCGAGCTGTCCTTCACGACTGGAGCTGCATCAGACCAATT